CAGATTCAATCATAACCAAGCTGGTGTGAACGCACGGGGAGTGCACGCGAGGAGAGAGAGAAGTTGCGGCGAGGTAAGAGTGGATCTGCCCACAGAGTCGGAACGAAGTTGCGTGAAGTTCTGCGCGGGAGAAGCTGTTGTGTGGAAAGGCACTACTGCGCAAACAGCAGAAGAGCTGCCGAGTAAGAGGAACGAGCGGCGAGGGCGAATCGGACAGCACGCACGCGTGCACGAGAGAGAGAGAAAGAGAGAGAGAGAGAGAGAGAGAGAGAGAGAGAGAGAGAGAGAGAGAGAGAGAGAGAGAGAGAGAGAGAGAAAGAGACTTGACGGGTGTGGATGTAATGAGATTCTCCCCGACGCTCAACAGACCAAAGTGAGGAGATTCAACTCAGCGCGGGTAAACGACAGGAGTAACTATGACTCTCATGAGATCGCCAATGCCACATCATCTAATTAGTGACACCTATGATTGGAGGGGTGAGGTTTCTACTGTTCGTGTCTACAATCCCACAGCCGAGGGAATGGATCTGGAAGAATACGCGGGAAAAGAAGTCTAAGGCTTTGTCATCTAATTAGCGGCGCGTACGATTGGATTAACGAGATTTCTATTGTCCTATCATCACGCGAAGTTCCAGCCGGGGAATCTTGCAGGGAGGAACCGACGGCGAAGAAGCCAACGCCCCGTCGTCTAACTGGTGACACGCATGATTGGACAAACAAGATTCCTACTATTACATCTACCGTCTCTGGAAGCCACAACTGTTGTCCCTACCTACCACATTCAAGGGGAAGGGCTAATGCCCCGTCACCTGATTAGTGACGCGCATAAACGAGCCGACGAGGTTTCCACTGTCTTTCCCGCAATAACAACAGCTAAATGAAGGGGCTTGCGAGAATCGGCAGGGAAAGAAGCTCTGTTGAGCTTAATTGCAATTCAACTCTGCAAGGTGACTAGAGAGGTGTCAACGGATGTTGAAGCAATGTGGTTTCTGCTCCGTGTTGGGAATGCCAAAGTGAGGAGATTCAAGAGCGGATGAACAAAGGATGTGCACGCCGAGCCGCAGTCGGACTCGAAAGCCCCCCCTACCGGACCACCAGGCCAAAGTAGACCAGATCCGAACAGACTGGACCAGATCCAGACCAGACCAGATTAGAACCAGATCAGAATCCGACCAGACCCAGACCAGATCAGATCAGACCAGTTCAGACCAGACCAGAGAGCATCGCAACAGACCAGATCAGACCCAACCAGGACGTATCAGACCGGGTCCGACCAGATCAGATCAGATCAGACCAGACCGGACACAGGACAGACTAGACGGGATCAGACCGGCCGGATCAGGCCAGACCAGACTGGATCTAGACCCGGGACAGGTCCTAGTCGCGCACCCGGGCGAACCAAGGTATCGCCTCTGCCGGGGCCGGGTTCCGTTGGGACTCAAACGTATTTTACAGACTCGTACTATGAACGAGACCCAGAGCCTGATCGCAGTGCGAACTTTCATACTATTCTGAATTAAATCAAAACACGCATTTCGATCATTTCTACAATTTGTTTCACCGTCAACAGTTGCTTGCCTTATATTGCGGTATCAGCGTATTTTGGGGATACTGATTTCTTGCAGGTCACAGGAGCCTCGATCGACCCTCCTGTGGGTGACAGACACGGCGCGAGGTATAGGGTTTGGTTGGCGTGACGGCAGACCCCTTCTACTGGTCGACAGTGGCGCCGTTGCTGGGGAAGGCTGCCTCTCGGGACTTCGGTCCGCCTGTAACCGCAGAGGCGAGGAAGGCGTTGGTGATCGAGGCGCTCAACTCCATTACTGACGTCGATATTGTTTCTCTTGGAAATGTCAGGGTGTGTTGAGGCGAGAGTGCGGCGACGACTGGCAATCCGACCCATCTCGATACCCCGGTGAGGTATTCTGAGTATTGCAATTTCTGCATTTCTATTTTCTGCATGAAATTCCTCTGGCATGCTCTTGTGATTGGAGGGGGATTGTCTTCTGATTTCCCTACCCTTTGTCAGTCCACCTGATTCAGATCTCTTTGAGTGAAAATTGTAAGCTGGGGAAGAACTGGAGGGACTGAAGGGGAGGGGAGAAGCGCCCCGGATCGCAAGGAGTTGGGGGAAATAGACAGGCTAGTTGATCCGATTGCTAGCAGGAGGTCTGATTAGGACATTATATAGTGTCGGGGGAAAGCGTCCCGGGTAAATCCATGTTTGAGGTGGGCCGAGTTGAGACATGGTGCCGGATAGGATTGCACGAGGGAAATACCGTCGTTCCGTGAGCATGTGACTTCGGTCCGACCCTATGATGCACGAGTTGGCCAGCTCGGGTCAAGGGATTGCTCTCGGGATCGGTAGGCCAGCGATGATGGCGACATGGGATCAGCCTCTCTTTCGACATGAGGGTAGGAGGAGATACGCCAGAGGGCGGTTCTCTTCTAGGCCTGTTGACGTCGTCAGGGATATAGGCGGGTGCAGTGGAGGCCTGTCGTGGGGATCTATGAGCTCATCAGTCGGGCTGGGCTACACAGCGTCTGAGAGAGTAACCTTTCATCTCCTTGTTGATTAGTAAGGTTAATGGAGGGTTGAAAAAGGAGCGTCGGGAAGTTATGGAGAAGGTTTATCTTTCGGAGATGAGGAGTGAGCTTAATATTCCTGAGAGAAAGATGGCGGTGGAGAATTCTGATGGAGGAGAAAGGTGGGATAGTGAATTTGAGAGCAGACCTCCTCATGTAAAGGCGRCAACCGRAGTAGGAATCCCTGGGGGCGAGACTTGGCGAAAAGGACGATGTGARMCACMATGCAGACCAAGTCCATATGCTATGGCGTGCGGACCGTTGTGCAGTCCTTTGTTTTACCAACCACCCTACTTCGGTCAGCCTTTATATTTCACGGGACATCGGGTAACAGAATTCATGAACGACTGGGAAGTTTATGCCTTGAGAGCGGGATGGACTGATCGGGAAGCGATAATGGGATTCATTAATCATACTGATCTCAAACTAGACAAAGACGTGCGTGCTGCTATACCMGAGGATTGGAGGTGGGCAACTTTCAGAGAACGATTRTCTCGAGCTTTTGCATGCGAYGATATCTCCTACTCGGTCGAGGACTTAAAGGAGATGAAGAAGGAGGAAGGAGAGACATTAGTGACATTTGCGTGATGCTTTGAGAGGGCATCTGAACCATTGATAGAAAATGAGTTTCTCGGTGAGATAGAACGATGCGGCATATTCATAGGGACTCTGCCTATCGAGAGAAGAAAGTTTGTTATGGAGAACATGCCTAATAAATGGGTGACGTTCGCTCAGACAAGGGCATTGGCTTTGCAGACTGGGGGACTGGATGCCAAAGCTCATCTACTTGGGGTGTTGGAGAAACTAGGGAAAGGAGAACCCGAAAGTCATTTAGAAAAACAATTCGGTGATGAGGACGGAAGAGAGTTCATGCCGCCTGAAAAAGGTAAAGTAAGTAGAGATAGAGGGGAATGGAAAGGAAGAAACCGCAGCAACTGGAAGAAGGATGACGATAGGGGATTTCGAGATAGGCGTTGGAGAAGTAGAGAAGAAGAGAAAGAGCGAAGGAGATCATATAGGGAAGGATGGGAAACGGTCGAGGAGATTGAAGCCCTAAGGGCCGAACGAGAAAGGGTGAAGAGAATGAAGAATGTCCCACCTCAAAGGAGTGTGGAATCGTTGAAGATTCCCTTACAACAAGGACCTCAGGACAGACGAGAAAAAGACTCTGGGAAAACCATCGAGCTGGATGAGTGAAGAAAGATCGAATGTGCGAATGACAAGAAAGATATATCATGCGGACCTTCTACGAAGATGAATACTGACGTTAAAACAAGAACAACCCAGGAGGTGATTCAGAAAATTCAAGGAGAAATCTGGGTGTCGAGTATCAGGTTTGACTCCGTTTGAGGAGGACCGGAATACAAATGAGAATGAGGAGGAAGATATACGCTGTCGAACTTCCACCGAGATGGGTACTAGCAATGTAGTAAGGACAGCGGAAGAGTCAGAGTAGGGAGAGTTCTGGGTATCTAGTGTCCAGTTTGAGGAGGACCCAGACCCGAATGATAGTCTGACGGTTGGGGTTTCGAGTATTCGGTTCGAGAGTTGCCAGAAAGATTCTGATGCAGCTCCGGTATGTGYTGAGAAAATGAGTGAGGAAGCAGAAGAAAATGGAGCCGATAATACTAACCTTGATATTAAAGTCTCGCCGAGGGGCGAAGGGCCGAAGGTTGTTTAGGAAACGTGGGTAGATCGAACCACGACACAGGAAGAGATACCAATGATTGAAGAATGCAGAGGCTTGAAAAAAATTGGCGATACTCAAAACAAGAGGGCAGAGGACTCAGACACAAGCTATGAGTTTGCCCCAGCGTTTAAGTGTGTAGAGCCGGATATCAGCTATGATCTGGCTCAACTTTCTGAGACCATCAAGCCAGATCTTAGCTATGAGTTGGTTCAACTGTTTGAGACCCCCGATTTGGACATGGTTTGTGAGCTTGCCCAACCATTTGAGTCTGTTGGCCCAGATGTCGGCTACAAGCTGGCTCATCCTTTTGAGACCGTCGAGTCGGACGTCAGCTATGAGCTGGTGCAACTATTTGGGACCATCGAACATGTTGACGATTATGACTTAGCTCAACTCTTTGAGGCCTCCGAACCGGGTATCGACTATRGRCTTACCCRACTGTTGGAGACTGTCGAGCCGGACGACGGCTATGAGCTTGCACAACTGTTTGAGACCCTCGACTCCGATGTCGACTATGATCTTGCCCAACTRTTGGAGACCATCGATACGTCCGAAAACGATGTCGGGTATAGTTTTAAGAGCCAAAAGCTGGTAACTATGAAAAATATTGAAGATTTCATAATGAATCAATGCACGACGRTGAGTGTTGAAGGARAATTAGACGGGAACCTCTTGGAAGGACAAGACAATGAGATTCGACTTTCATCTGACCAAGAAGGCGGAGGAAAGACCATTGTGGAAGTTAAGTTTATTGAGGATGCAGACCATCTTAAAAGCACGTCGAGAGAATTTAAGGAACTGTCAGAACTCARGGAAGGGTTTCAAGTGAAGAAATCCGTTATTGACGATAATGATTCGATTAAGACTGGAAATYGGGTCGCAAAATTTCAGCTTGGGATAAGAGTGCGAGGCTGGAATGAAGACTTGCGCCTCCTTTTTCTCTTACTGATCATCCTWACGTCAACTTATGCTCGTACTTTCCGTTGTYGGTGCTACGACTGCAGCTTTAATGTCGGCATCTTACTWAGCATGGCTGATCGTCTCATTACGTTTGATCTTTATGGTGGCGCGAGCTCCTTGTGGGTCCGTACAAGCCTGTCCTGCGATCTGTCATGCGATGTCTTTCCTATACTCTTTCAAGCCTTACTGGTTGGGTGGAGAATGGGTGCAAGGAGGAGAAGGATGTTCGTAAACGGGGGAGGTAAAACTCGGAAGTTCGGAGGTCCGATGTTCGAAGAAGGAGGTACTTTAACATTTATCAAACTGATCCTGCCGACTTAGCGTATGAGCAAAAGAAAATTTTACTTCCACAAGTGGCGAGACAAAACCAAAGTTCGCTCGAATCTGGCAACGTGGGAGTGGTTGAAAGGACGAGCTAGGGATAAAAAGCGGAAAGCTAAAARAAGCGATGGTGGAAAGAGRGGTAGGAAGAGYTAAAAGAAGAAAGAAAATTATGAGAGKGATATGTCTCTTGGGGTTGATCGGGTACAGATTAGGTGTCAGCCGATTAAATTTTTCCTTCTCGATAAACAGACGATACTCCAAGATCGCTCGTCGGGGACGTCGAGAATGGGGGGGGGGCTGYTGTCGGGCGGCTCCAGCCYTACGCCGCCCTTTWCTTCCTTTACAAGGGCGCACAACGAGGTTCGCATTTGTTGGTTTCTACCTGGCAGGGGCTCACCRGCCATGGGAAAATGCCGCGACAGGTTGACGGAACGAGTGGTCGGGCTACGACGTTCAGTTCGAGCAGGGCTTGAGCGTTGAACAGTGGTATCTTCGCGGAGAGAGGCTAAGACATAAGCTACAAACGAACGCAAAGAGGCTACCACAACGGACAACTGCCGAGGGGTCGGACAAGGGGGCCCGGCCTCGAAAGGTCGGAATGATACTAAAGGTCGGCGGAATAGTCGAGGGAATGGAGGCGTCGGGCGTTTATCGTGAGGCTACGGACATCTTAAGCGGCGGCAGTGCCCGAAGTTGCCTCGAGTGACCGAATTCTCAAGAACACCCTGCGTGAACAAGTGGTGGGGATATGGCCTACGCAGGGGCCTCGACACTAAGAGGAGAAGGGTACGGGCCTAAGGCTCAGAAATGGACCTCACGACCTAGAGTTTTGGGCGGGCCTGCGTGACTTTCACAAGGGGGGCTGGTACCACTTATGAGTGGGGACCACCAAGGCCGAGATAGGTCCGGTACCGGGGCGCTGCAAAAGGTCCGGTTCTCGACAAAAAGGCTCTCCTCGACAAAGACCTTTCCGGGGCCCAAACAGGCTCGGGCATAGGCCCGGTACCAGGGCGCTGCAAAGTTCCCGACACTGATCGGCCGACGGCGGGGGAGAGCTGGCTGCTGGGAGCTGGTACAGTGGGACCAGCAAACTTTACAAGCCCAAGAGGGCTCATTCTCGGGGGACTCTCACCTGCGCACGGGAAGGAAGCACGAGCTGGCGCACGGGAGTGTGTTGATCCCTCGCGGACTGGTTTCCGGGCGGAGGGAGCGTTTGGAACGCAGGAGCGAACAGGTAACAGGTAAGGTCATGCACCCGAAGCGCACGAGGGCTGCACCGGGAAGGAACCAATCAGTGCACACGGGAAGAGCCACGCACGGGGAAGAAGCTACTGGCAGGCTATGTGTGTGTGTGAGAGAGAGAGAGAGATCCCTACGGGTGTTGGCGCAATATGATTTGTGCCCAGTGCTCTGATTGCCGAAACGAGGAGACTCAACCAGGCGCAGCTAAACGCCGGAAGTAACTATGGTTTTCTTAAGGTAGCCAATGCCTCATCATCCAATCAGCGACGCGCGCAGTTGGATTAACGAGACCCCCTTTGTCCCTACCTACCTCTCCCGGAGTCGCACCCAAGTTTGAAAAACCGGCGGGAAAGAAGGCGCGAGGCCAAGCCAAAAAGGCATTGCAATGTTGTCCCTATCTACCATCCTGCCAAACTACAGCCAAGGGAACGACTTTGGAGGGATCGGCGGGAGAGGGAGAAGTGCCACGTCATCTAATAAGTGATGCACGTAAGTGGATCAACGGGACTCCCACTGCGCCTATCTACATCCCTCTAAAGCCACAGCTGTGGGCGCATTCCTGGTATTGGCGATTGGCTGCGTGGGCGACATCATCAAGTACTTCAGTGGCTGCTAACGTCGGCAATTGTTTCGTCGATTTGTGGGCAAATAGTAACTGTGAGGGCGCATTCCTCGTATTCGCGGTTGGCTGCACAGACGACATCTTTAAGTACTTCAGTGGGTGCTAACATCAACAATCGGTTCGTCCATCCGTAGGCAGATAATAGTTGTGAGAGTGTCTACATTCGCACACGCACCCGCTAGAGGTGCAAGAATCTGGCCCTCTCCACGGTCTAGATTCATGCGCTTTGCACGAACGTGCGTGCGGCACCAGAAAGAGGGCACAGGCCAGAGAGAGAGAGAAAGAGAGGKAGAGAGAGAGAGAGAGAGAGAGAGAGAGAGAGAGAGAGAAAGAGAGAGAGAGAGAGAGAGAGAGAGAGAGAAAGAGGGAGAGAGAGAAAGAGATTAGAAGGCGCAGTTCGCGGGCGCACCTGGACCCAACCGCGCGTCAAGTTCATTCCCTTTTTGGGAGGACGAGCGTGGGAAAAAGGAGCTGCTGCGCGCTAGATAAAAAAGCGCAGATCTGCGCACGGGCGCGCGCCTGGGGGGGAGAGAGAGAGAGAGAGAGAGAGAGAGAGAGAGAGAGAGAGAGAGAGAGAGAGAGAGAGAGAGAGAGAGAGAGAGA